TAGTCATTTGTTTTTGTTTTTGTTTTTGTTTTTGTTTTTTTCCCCTCTGTGAATATATCTTTTATAGGGTAAAGAGGCATCAGTAGTCTTATTGCTCTCTGGAAAATTGTGCTCAACTTTCATTTCTCATTTAGACTTTTGGTCTTGGGTTTTTTGTTTGGTTGCTTTCTGTTTTTGTTTTTTGGTTGTAATCGGATTTAGACATTTTGGGTCAGACTGAATACCTTCTATGACAGTGTAAATACTGACTGGTGGTCCGCTATCCCCTCCCACCTGGGGGCTGAGGGTGGGAGAAATAGAAAAAGTACTGCTGTGTTACATCTCACATCTTGCCACTACCCAGCCTGATGCCTTTTTAGGCTGACCCCAAGAGAAGGTAAAGGAGCAGATTTTCTGGTAGGCTGCATTAGAGCCAAGGGAAATGGGTAAATTTTCAGATTCAGTGAATTGTTAACACTTTTAATATGGAAGCTCGCCACTAGGTTTGTGACCACATTGTGACTCTGTATTTAACTTTGCTTTTCCATTTCTGGTTCTTTGGATTTAACTAGCCTGATTACTTCTTTAGTATTAATTAAAAAAAAAAAAAAGACTACACTAGTTTTCGTCCCAAATTTACTTGCATTTAATTCAATTTACAAAAGTCAGTTCTTACAAAGTCAGCTGTTAAGATAACTAGGGATATAGGGGCTCCTGGGTGGCTCAGTTGGTTCAGCTCAGGTCGTAATCCCGGGGGCCTGGCATGGAGCCCCATGTTGGGCTCCCGGCTCACCAGGGAGCCTGCTTCTCCCTCTCTCTCTGCTGCTCCCCCTGCTTATGTTCTCTCTTTCTCTCTCTCTCTCTCTCTCTCTCAAATAAATAAATGAAGTCTTAAAAAAAAAAAAAGATAACTAGGGATATAGAAAGAGTAAGCCACCTCCTGTACCCTGAATGACTAAAGCAGTAGAGACTTTTTAGCATATAACCAGTCTGCTGTGTTTATATAATAGCTATAAAACAATTTATAAGTATGAAAATAAGGGTACATGCCAGAATGTGGGAACATAAAAAGACATTATTGTGGACTGTAAATGTTGTGAATGGCTTTTTAGAGGGGGTAACATTGCAACTAGAAGTTGAGCAATGAGCAAGACCTTGCTAGGCAGGAAACAGGGGAGGGGTAGCTGGATATTCTAACACTTTGCAAAGGAAGTTGGGTTGTGTTTAGGGAATGGCAAGGATTTAGATGTGTCAGATTACACAATGCCAAGGGAGTGAAAGTGGGATGATGTGAGGTTGGGAGGTTAAGTTGGAACCACATTTGTGAAGTGTCTAAAAGACCATGATTTATAGTTAAGGGTTTTATAATGTAAAATATGGGAAATAACAAACATTACCTTAGTATGGAAGTGATGAAATAAGATTTGCATTTTAGAAAAAATAAGTCGAGCAAAAGAATTGACAATAAGTTAGAGAATTTTAAGATCTCATACTGAGTTTATACGTGTAGAGACATTATTTATTTTTTGTCTTTCAAAGACAAAATAACCCACTCTCAAGTACAGATTGATACAATAGATAATACCATTTCCTTTTTTCTCCCATGTACTTTTTCCAAAGGCCACATATAGCTCTAAAATAATATGATATCATGTTTTAGCCAATAGAAAATGCAGTGTATACTTCCAGCTTCTGATAATGACAGACTAGCGTATATCAGAGTAGACTTCCTACCAGTTGTAATTTAAAATTCTTGACAAAAATATAAAAGCAATGACAGAAACTGTTTATAGGCACTAGAGAGCAACTAAAAGCAAGCTGAAACCGAAAAGGATTCTACCTTGGAAAGAAGAAAACCACACTGGGTGAGATCCACATTTAAATGGCTTTGACCCCACGGTCCCTCTATGCCCCACATGGGAAGTGGCTGATAGGGCTCAAAGGAAAAAACAGTAGATTTACTGGCTTTAGGAGTCACAGGACTGAATTCAAGGTTGTCAGAACGAATAGGAATTGAGATTAAGATTCCTGAAGGGAGAGAGTCACAGGGGAGGGAGCTCCGAAATCTGTAAATGAATACCTGTGATCTTTGGCAGAGCCTTAAACTGTACATGTACAGATAAAGAGTCCAAGGAGCCCAGGAAGAAAACGAGAGTTAGAAGGATGAAAGAACTGAGCAGAACATTCAGTTTCTCACTTCAGGGATATAAAGTTTAGAGTTTTAGTTCCCCCGAGTTAGAAGGAATTGACAAACACTTGGGTTTTCCATTGAAACTCAGGAAGGTTCATTCTTGGGGAGTGAAGACCATCTCCTAGGAGTAAGGGAAAAAACTGGAATAAACCTGCCTTAACAAAGCCGAAACTTACACCTCCGTGTTACCTGGCAGTAATCTGCTTGCCAGAGCAAACGTCAATGCTGTTTGGAGGAAGAAAATATAATTTAAAATCTTTACAACATATTCACAGTGTTTATATGCCATCAGTAATTGCTGGACATGCAAAGGAACAAGAAAATGTGACCCAGAGTCATGGGAAAAATCAGTCAATACAAACAAACTCATAGATGACATAGACACTGGAATTGTCAGACAAGAGAACTTTTTAGGTTGTTGGAAACATTTTGCGTCTTTATTGGTATTGTAGTTACATGAGTTACATGAGTGTATACCTTTATATACTCATCAAAACTGCACATTTGAAATCTGTGCCTGATGGTATGACCGTTACAACTCATAAGTAGAACTGATGGGAACTGAAAGGCCATGTAATATGGTGCTTCAACATGCGACATGCAGGGATTGAGGTAAGATGACCTGGATTCCAGTCCTGAAGGCGGTGAATTACAGTGGATCACAGTATGGTTGCTCTATCAGACAAACCTAAGGTTTTGAATCACATTGCCAATATTTTGTGAACATTGGTAGGTTACTAACACCTTCTAAGCTTCTCTAAAATGAAAATGATAAAATTAGAGTCGGCTGGTAGAGTTGTCCTGAGTATGGTGGCTGGCATATAGATGCATTCAATAAATTTAAGCTGAAGTCTTTATTATTAAATAGCTTTTCAGCCACCTTTTCAGTGCTCTAATGCAGTCATGAATGCTTATATAACATGAAGATTTTGAGAATTAGATATCTACAAGCTGCATTATACTGCAATCTAAATAATGCAGACAATATTTGACAGCATATGATTAAATACACTAGCAAATCCTATTTTAATCATCCATTTCAAACTAAGTAACTAATTCTCTTTGCCAAGAAAAAAATGTTCAATTTAAAATACTTCTCTCATAAAATAAAATAAAATAAAATAAAATAAAATAAAATAAAACAAAATACTTCTCTTGAAGCTCTTATAAAAAAAAAATTCAAACATAAATTAGGACCTGATATTTTTCCTAAAAGTCTCACCCTCTGTTTCCCATCTCATGATCACTTTTTATATTTTAGTATATTTTGGGGGGGTGCATATATGTGTGTGTATGTATGTGTATGTATCTGTGTATAATTGTGTGTGTATAACTTTGTAAGCAAAATTGTGACTATATGATTTATATACTCTTCTAAACCTGACATTTCCCTTCAAAATCTTTCCATGTTTAGGACTAGTTGCATATAGAGTTAGCCCATTCTTTTTAGCAGCTGCATAATAATATTGCATTGATGGATTTTGATTTATCTAATTTCCCCTCTGAGAAGTTCCAAGTTTCCCCTATTATAAACAACTGACATTTTAGAGTTACAGCTTTTGCACTTATGTTAATTATTCCATAGAATAATTTTTTTTAAAGTAGAATTGCTATGTGAAAAAGTTTGAACAAAATTTATTAAGGTTTTTTTGGAAGAGAAAAATTGTAGGTGTGAGTATATACATGACTGAACAGTGAAAGAATGAGGATCAGAACGTTGAAGATTCTCTGGGTCAATTACATGGTGGTGTGGACAGTGGAGAGAGGGGGACATCTTCTGACCTCTAATATCCTGCTTTATTTTCACATCCCAGCTGACTCTTACTCTCCCCCTTTTTGTCTCTTTACCCTTCATTTAGCAATCTTTCATTTCCTTTCAGTCCAAGGGGCCCATTCAACAACAACTAAGAACCCAAGTTTTCCATTTCCTAATGTAAGTGCATATGATCTTTGAGCTTTCCATCTGTGCACTCATACCCACCCCATCCAGTCATATGAAGTTTTAATTTCCAACAGCATCAGATTTGTGCTTTCAAAAGGCGAGTCTCACTGTGTAGGCCAGATGTGAAGGGGAAGAATGAGAGGCCAGAGGACTGAAGGGACTTCAGACTGGTGAAAGGCAGGAAGCTGTTCATGTAGAGGAGTGAGGGCAGGAACAGCTGAAGTTCTTGGCTTAGTCCCTGTCAGATAAGTGAGGGTGGTTTTATGGGAATTTACTAAGACACAAGCTATGTTTGTGTCCTGCTGTTGGGGGAGGGGGAGCTCTGAGGTGTGGCTCTTTTTTTAATGACTTTAATTCTACTCTCAGTTTTAGAGTGAGTACGGGTGTTTTAGAGAGCTATTCTCACTTTCTTCTTGACCTTTTCCTTCTATAACCTGTGGTATGTTAGAGGCAATACTTACCATCTTGGGAGACAGAACTGTTAGCATTTCTTTTGCACCGTGTGTTCAGTGACCTCAAGTTAATAGTTTGAAATTGGACATAGTGGGGATATTTACACAATTGAGAGTGGAAAAGGCAACAAATCAGGGATTCCCCCATCCCAAGACATGCTGTTGTTTAATGTTTACCAGCACACTACATAACTTCTGTAACCCTTCTACCTCTGCTCAATACACACACACACACACACACACACACACACACACACACACACACGCACACACACGACAACAGTGTTTAAAGGATTGGACATCATGGGTTTTCTTCCTTGAGACTACGGTGATTTTCAAGACAAACAAATTGAGTTCTTTTTCTCGTCTTGTTTCTGGTTTTACATTTACTTCCAAAAGGACAAAAATGAGCTAACTTTTTCTCTCTCTCTCCTAGTGGATGGCTGCATTCACAGAGCAGCTGGACCCTGTTTACTGGCTGAATGTCGTAACCTGAACGGCTGTGAAACTGGACATGCAAAAATCACATGTGGCTATGACCTGCCTGCAAAATGTGAGTACAATTCTTGTGAACACCGTTTCCACATCCACTGAGCACGCTTATATGGTTTTATCCCTCAAGTGTGTAACTGGAAAAGGAAATGGTAGTGGCGATATTTAATTAAACATGCTTATATTCGGATTTGTACTTGGTAATAGAGTGTGTGTTCCAGATAGTTCTTCAAATGTATTTGTGAGTGTAGGTGATATTTGTTTAGGTCTTCGACAGAGTGTTTCTGAAACAGAGAAATAAAAATATGAGCAAAATATACATTGTAGTATTTAAGTGCTGTGGAGTGACAGCTTTTGGAAATGATGCCAATTTCTTATTCCTTGTTCAGGTTTCTTGATTGTGGATGTGTTTAGAGCAAAGGAGATCAAAGTGATGTATTGTGTTTTCAGCTGCCATGTAAAGGCTGATTGGCAATTACAGCCAAGGCATCTGTCACACTTTGCTTTCAGGAAAAGCCAATGGAATGTGGTTGTCAGTGTGAGAATGTATTTGCTCTTTGAATGTGGAATGGTCAAAATTTCCATTATATTTGAATAGAGAGAAGTATTGCATTTGATTGACCTTGTTACCTAGTCGTTTAGCCAGCTGAGTGGGGGTGGTATGGAATAAAAATACTGAGAGAGAAGCTGGTTAAAGGCATGGATTTTTTAATCACATAATCTTCAGGGCTTGACAGGTGGAGGTAAAGGGTTTCATTGCACCGTTAAGGTGTTCATTGATCTGGAAATTGGGACACCAATTAGTTGTTTATTCTATTCTTCTGCTTCTTATGATACTGCCTGGGCCTGTGAATACATTTTATGTAAGAGTGAAGTGTGTTTTTGTTTTTCCTTTTTTTTTTTTTTTATTTTGCAGTGGAGAAAATGTGAATAAAAAATAATAACACAATCTGTAAGATGCTTGTTGGGCTCTGTATAGACAGGTTATGTAAGAATGAATTTCCTATGGGTATGTGTTAGTGGAAAGATAGTGTGTTATATTTTAAAGATTACTTTAGAGAATGTTTAAGTCTGAGGTTTTATAGTAAATGTCATATATTAAAATGATATTTTTTCTTTATAAACATTATAATACTGCATTCTATATTTCTCACAGTGGGTTCTAGTGAATGTATATCAACTTATCTACTATTTAATTTCTCCTTCAGTGACTTCTCCCTTTTCTTTCTTCCTTAGTGTTTTTACCTTGTGTGAAAGAGTCAAATCATGTGCCAAAAGGCCCCTCACGGACACTTGAAATGTGTATTTAGTCAAATAAAGTCCTTTGTGTGCAGTGGTGTTTCAAACAGTTCTCCCTTTGAGTCAGAAAACCTGAGTATTAAAGGTGATTTCCCTTTCCAGGATTATATGTCTCTATGTTTACAAATATTGGTCATTTTTTTCTTTTTAACACCGTACTACCTTTGTGATATAGCTAACGGATACCACCCTGAAAACAAGCAGATTATTGATTACTTTCAGACTTGTGTCTGTCCTTAAATTAAACTAAGAAATAAGTCCTGGTTTCCTACTGCTTTACTACTTTCTTTCTTATGTATTAAAGCACAAATAAGAAATTCTTTAACTCTGAGATTTTCGAAGACAGATAACCTCAGTATTACCAAATATGACCAAATGAAATGATGGCTTTAGTGTGTGGGTTGATGCCACAATGATTCTGTCTAATGTTCTTGCTCCCATATGACATCCCTCCAAGTTGTCCAGCTTAGTTCAGGGTTATTGAGGGAGGTATATAGATCATGACACCAAGACCTGTGCTTGAGTTGTTTCATGATTAAGTCATATCTCTGAGCTAAGATGTGGCTTTATGGGCGCCCCCGCAGGCCAACTGAGTCTTTGTGGCACAGGGACTTTAGTTAATGAAAGTCTGTCCACAGGACTTGGTACGGAATCTGTGTGAACTGAGTAATGAGAGCCTTATACACATTCAGGTCACCGTGCACAGCCCACAGGGCACATCGAATTAGAAAATCATCCAGCACCATAGAAAGGACTGGACTCGGGATGGCAGTGCCACCTCCTGAAAGTCACACACATGGACTACCTGTGAATAAGTCTTGGTATTTCTCTATATTTAAAAGATTAGTGATCTATATTAGAAACAAAGAAAACCAAGGAAAGCAATCAAGCAATATGGAAATGAATAATAATAGCTTACATCTGTATGACACTTTATAGTTCCACAGTACTTTCACAAGCCTTTATATTTTAAATTATATTTTATAAACATTGTGTGTGTGTGTTGATTTTCCCTTTTCCTATCTCTGAAAGATGTTTTTCTTTCTCATCACTTTGGTTCATCCATTTCAGAGTCATTAACAATCCACAGATGTGCTTTTGTAGAGAAAGAATGAAAGGGAGCTCATTACATACTGTTTGGGTCATTTTCTCCCTCTATATTTAATAATTCCATGACAGTTTGACAGCAGAAATTAGTTCCTATCTGTCCTCTGTGACAGCGGGTTTATCATTATGGGGTACTAAAGCCAGTCATCCAGCCACCAATGATACTATCTCCATGCATCAGCAATTTGTTTGGAAAACACTCTTGTCTAGGTTACAGACAAACTTGGTTATTTTGGACTGGTCTTTGCTTCTTCTATGCTGCCAAATTACTCTGTTCATAAATGCTTGTATTTGAATTAATCATGTTTGTAGTCTATATTCTGTGACTCATCATAACTGGGGGAAGATAAGCCTCATATTAAGTTTATTCTTCATCGTTTGGGTATTTTGATTTCTTTTGATGTAGAATATCCAATCGTTCTTTTCAAAAGCAATTGGAAGAGTGGACAGAATATTGGCAAATATTTCATTAAGGAGATTGCTAAGAAATGACTTAAGAGGTAGACTAAGGACTGATTATACAGTTGGACCTTTTGGGACCTTCTCTTTTACAGTATTAGACTCATAATAAAATTTATATTTCTATAGCATTTTAGAAGCTTATCAACATGTGGGACCTTTCTATTCATGCTGTCATCATTCTGTCAGAGGGCCAACTTCATGTGGTAGAAGTTTATCCCAAGAGTCACAGTTTTACCGTCAATATCTAGTATAGTATTTCCTGGATATGTGCTGAATTAATGTGGATGAACGAGTGATCAAATGAATAGTTTCAGAACTTTTCACGAGGAAAATAGCTTTGCAAATGTTTCTTCTACTAATTCTTTCCCTCCTGCAATGCATCTTTCCCAGTGCTGGGAGGTTAATGTTTCTAAGTCCAGAGTCCTCTCTATAAGACTCTAAGTGATGTGGCCCTCCTTACATCTCGGACATCATCTCCCTCTGTCCTCTTCCTTGCTCACATAGGTTGCTTTGCTGATCTGCAATATATTTGCATTAGAGTTCCTTCTGCCTGGAATTCTATTCTATTACATACCTACCTGGCTTGCTCCCTCACCTACTTCAAACCCTTGCTCAAATATAACCTCCAGTATTGCCCTAACCAACCTGTTTATAATTGTTTTCCTGCTTTATTTATAACTGATTATCTGTAGTATTTAACCTTCAAATATGTGGTACCATTTATTTACTGATTTTGTTTTTTGTCTGTTTCCCCCTATGAAAATGAAGGCAGAGATTTATTTTTTCCTGCACCTTTTTCATTTATTGCTGTATCCATACGGTTAGAGAAATGTTTGACACATAATAGGGACTCAAAATCTGTTGAGTGAATGGGTAAAAACCTAACTCTACTCCTCTCAAAATCCTTGGATGGGTCTTTCTTTAAACACAGACTTGTTAGCCTGATTACCTTTGGCCTTCCATGATTTACTGCCATATCCTGAACTAACAAGCTTTTACATGATCTGAATTGCTCACGCTGGTTTCCCTGCACACAGGGTCTGTATTTGGGGCCATCTGGAAAGCTCTTTGCCCCTTTCCTGTCTTTTGGACTCAACTCAAATATCACTTCTGTCATGAAACAAGTCTTCCTTATCAACTTAGCTAAAAGCGCTTTCTTTTTCCTTCAAACTCATAAATACAGCTTGTTAACATGCTGAGGACACTTTTCACTACTTTTTATATTGTTATACATACAAGCTTTCCACCTTTCTATCAGTTCCTTGTATATAATGGGTACTAGAGAAACATCTGCTAAATGAAATTACTTGTTCAAGGTGGAAGATTGGTTGATAATTGGTGATGGGCAAATGTAAAAGACAATTTATATTAATATCCCTGAGAAATGATAAAATTAGTGTTAATTATCCCGTTTTTTTTTTAAAGCATATTTTAACATACGTCTAATTCCAAAATCTCTTGTTTAAGGAATTTACTTTTAGTGGTTTTTCTCCTCAGAGTGGAACAAATAGAAATAAAGAAACCATATCAACTTTATTTAATGATTTTTGGGATAGCTTGGATGTCTCTTCTATTTCTTGAAAATGCTCCATTTTTAGGCATTAAGGCTGAATAATCATGAATGATAAGTGGAAAAATATTAAAATCTGTATATAAAATGGTGGGATTTGTTTCTTTTATTCTTTCCATATAATCTTTGGAAGATATCAAAGAGTAATATTAGCATCCAACTCACAGGTTTTTGTTAATCATTTGAAAGGAGACTATAGGACGAGAGACCATAGTACAGCATGTTTGAACATCATAGAATGATATGAATCAGAATCCTCATTCTATTCCTAGGTGCAATAATAATCAGATGTTAGTAGCTTAAAAGGTAGAGTTGATAATAATTAATATTTCTCCTGTGCCCTTCCTTGAGAAATCATAGTACTTTGAAACATTAGCTCATCAGTCCTTTTTGAAATTTCTATGAGGAAGTGCTATGACAAGTCATGGTATTTTCTTTCAACACAAAGGAATATTCAGATACAGAGGGGTTAAATTTGTCACTCTCAGTAACAAACTATGTCCATGTTAGGAGCATGGCAGGTAACTCAGTGTCACCTGCTTAGGGCAAGAGTCTATGGCAGCTGTTGGCCAAGGTCTGCCGCCTGTTTTTTATAAATAAAATTTTATTAGAATACAGCATCT